TTATAGAAAAGGCACAGGGACACCACGTGACAGCGAATGAAGCAGAAAGTGCTTTTTAGAACACAAGCTCTCTCCAGACCTCAAATGGAACTCATATATCTGATCTGTTGCTAAAGATGCTGTAAAAATGATCTGTTCTTTGTACCAGTCCAGTAATATCTGATTCCCTCTTCTATACTCACTTTTTACAAGAATTTACTTTGTATCGAACTAAAAATTGAAAGTATTGCTGCTATATATGGGATAGGTCTACCCAATCCACACTTGCCAGTCTTGACACAATTTAAAACTGTCCACACATGCGTGTTATAAATTATTTTTCATTCTTCAGCCCCTTTCCTACCCACGAAACGTCACGGCCCCACCCTACTCTATCGCTATTTCCACGGTACGTGTTATGGCAAGCTACATTACTCGATCGCACCAGCCCTGACCTTCGCAACTATGACCCGTCATGCCGCGTACACGGGGATGAATCATCCTCGTTCCCTTCGTATTCCATTAGTAAGGAAGAAGTACCAGGCGGACAGCTTCTTCCCAAAAAATGCAGATTTTGTGGAAAAGACTCCTGGTAGGTTTTTTTTTTCAATCACTATAATCTCGACCTCTTCAAGTTTAGGGTTAACCTTTATCTGCATGAGCTCATGAACTTCACTTCTTGCCTTTTCTTTCACTTATACAACACAACATAGTAACGCTCTACCTTGAGTGGCTCTTGAACATTAGATAAGCATTTGTATAGCGGCTCGGATCGAGGAATCGGAAAGCCGAGTTCGAATTCCAGTCGAATCCATTACATTCACTTACGTGCTAATACCCTTGGGAAAGGTGTGAATCCTCTTCTTCTCCCTCCAGCTATCGGTAAATAGCAAGACAGATTGCCTTGGATGGCAGCTGGTCTACCGTAGAGAGAAACGGCAACCTACTGCAGGAAAAAATATGCCTCGTCAGTCATGTATCGAAAGATACATAATCGCCTAAGCGTGTATCACTTATGGCACATAACTGAGTTTGAAAAATAAAATAAAATAATTTTTAGTTGCGAAAATTTGTGACATAGATAAATATTCTAAAGAAGAAATGATTTTATCATTTTATTTATTAAACAATATATTTATTTATTTTCGTCTACCAGCCTGAATATTCGAGAAATCTTATAAAAGAGAAATACGCGCTCTCCGCATTCGAACCTGGGTCCGCTTGAGCAGAGGGAAAAGTCGTTAGATCCGAGATGCTTTTGACCAATGATTCCCAACGTGGAGCGCATACCCCACCGGCGGTGCATGGTAATATTTTGGTGGGAGATGCGTAGCATGTGCACCCTTATGCTTATTATACCAACAGAATAAGGGGTCAATTCGAGAATGAGTTATTAACAGTAAATTGTTTTCTATTGAGCCTGAGTGTTAGCGTAAATGTTAATGAGTGTTAATACATACGGTGTATATACAGTATGCATACATAAAATATTTTGTGTGTATGTATGTATATGTGTAATTGGCATACAGGGTGTTTCCCATCTCCCCAGACTTACGTGTCTCAGTCAACAAAGAGGGCATGATATCATGTCGCTGGAAGAGCCCATATTTTGTCGGCCACTCAGCGCGTCAGGACAATAGCCCATATTTTGTCGGCCAATCAGCGCGTAAGGAGAATAGCCCATATTTTGCCGGCCAATTAGCGCGTAAGGAGAATAGCCCATATTTTGTCGGCCAATCAGCGCGTCAGGAGAATAGCCCATATTTTGTCAGCCAATCAGCGCGTGTGAGCATTCAGTTTACTTTTTTCAATGAATCGCAGTAAAATTTTGAATATGTAAGAATTAAATATTACAGGGGTGGCACCAGAATTATAGAAATACCAAAGTGGGCCATGGTTCAAAATACCTTGGGAACCACTGCTTTAGACGGACTCGACCTGGAAGTGTTTCACCGAACAAGCAAAACTAGATAGTGCCTTAAAAAACGCACATCCTTCCCCGATTCATCAATCCCAGATTAGGGAAGCATCTTTTTTCTTTCATAAGATTTTTAACCGTCTGAAGTACGGAGAACTTAGCCGATCACTGCTGGAGAGTACATATTTTTCTATATGATTTCTCGAATATTCAGGCCGGTAGACGAAAATAAAGAAATATACTGTAAATAAATAAATAAATATAATATAAATATACTGCGATATCCTCACTCTGAGACAGGGATCGGCAACCTTTTGCTAACTTATTTATGGATTTAAAATCATTCAGTGTGCCAATAGCACACGTACTTTTATACAAGCTCAATATACCTGTTCTACAATATATTGTATATAGAAATATATAGTATATATACTTTCGTATATATTAAAATTGAAACAGCTCAATATCGTCGTCGTAGTTATTGTTTCGGACTTCGTGATGTCCTTGGCAGGTGCGTGCCATTGAAAATTGCTTGGCGTGTCACGTGTGGCACGCGTGCCGTAGGTTGCCGACACCTGATCTACAAAATTTAAGTATCTCTGTTTGATGTTACTATTTGTTTCCATGTTCTCTAAATCTTCATCATTGCTCACATGTTCAGTCTACGGCAATCTCAGCATTCTTCTGTAGAAGCACATTTCTGTTGCCGCAAGTTTCTTCTATATCTGTTCAGCATTGGCTGTCATAGCGGAGGACTGATATTGCATAACAGTTCAGTACTCGTTTCTCTGTTTTAAACGAATTTTTCGTTTCTTGGGCGTTAAGCCGGGCATTTTGTCTTCAGCTCATATAATTTAATTAAGTGTTCGTTCAGTGCGAGATTTTGAAACTGAAACCCCATTTTAGTCGTAATGGAAAGGAATTGGAGAGTAAGATGTGGTGCTGAAAAATTCTCGGCCTTCCTTAAAAAATGATTACTCTTGGCCCATAAGATAAGTATCATCAATGAAAGACAATAATCCTGCTTTAACCTCCCGAAGCCAATAAAATGATGACAATGGACACTATGTTGATGACATAGGTATTCAATGTTAGTACAAGAATTGCAATATGAACTCTGGTAAAAAATAACAATGATAACAGCAAAAATTGTAATATGAGCACTGGTAAAAATGGCTGCTGAAGACATTAGGTTTATAAATCCCAGAAATGTCCTCAAAAACACATGGCACAGTGGATAAAGTTGTTAGATCCAGTGACAGGGACCAAAGAGTGTGAGTTCAGTACCTGGTTAAGGCAGTTGAGAACTTGGAGAGGGTAATTAACAGGCGATACCTGATAACTGACATCCATTAGACATGGCATGAGGAACTAGAACAGTCTATCCCAGTGAGCGAAATAAAGGGTTCAGTTCGACATTCCAACCACCTGAAGAAGGCCAGAGTGTACAACGGCCGAAACGTTGTGATAAATATGGCAACAAAGATGAGGACAATAGTCCGAACAATGTAAATAATGTACATAATACCTCATCTCAGAAGTATAGATAAATACTGAAGAATTCTCTTGAACAGAGAATAAGCATCCTCTATCAAAGTTCCAAAGAAATGGTACGCAGTATAAACGTATTCCTATTGGAATAGGAATTGAATTGGAATGAAAACAGTGACGGCAGTTATGTGCCATGCGTTATACATGACTGATGAGGCAGGTTTTTTTTCCCGCAGTAGGTTGCCATTTCTTTCTGCGGTAGACCAGTTGCCATCCAAGACTATAGAACCCGGTCTGTCCTGCTATATACCCATAGTGTGCTTGATTAAATGTACAGTCAGTCGATTATGTGCCATGAGTGATACACGCTTAGGCTATCATGTATCTTTCTATACATAACTGACGAGGTAGATTTTTCCCGCAGTAGGTTGCCATTTCTATCTGCGGTAGACCAGTTGCCATCCAAGGCTATAGAACCCGGTCTGTCCTGCTATTTACCCATAGTGTACTTGATTAAATGTACAGTCAGTCAGTTATGTGCCATGCGTGATACACGCTTAGGCGATACATAACTGACGAGGCCGATTTTTTTTCCCGCAGTGGGTTGCCATTTTTTTCTATGGTATACCAGTTGCAAAGCTAAAGAACCTTGTCTGTTCTGCTATTTACCCATAGCTGGTGGTAGAAGAGGTGGATTCATACCTTTTACAAGGGTCTTAGAACTTAAGTGAATGCAATGGATTCGACTGGAATTCGAACTCGACTCTCCGATTCCTCAGTTCGAGCTGCTATCCATTACTCCACCACACATATCCTAAATTCATTATAAAAAATCAGTATGAGGAATTAGTAGACACAAAAACATTTAGATATCTCGACGTACGGATCAGTTACAACAAATTAAGTATAGATGAAAAGGAAATTGAACTGCACCAGAGGTAGTTTCTCTAGACACCGCAAGTTGCTAAGAAACGAAAACATTAACCCGAAAAATCATGTTTTTAAACAGCCTCGTCATATCGAGACTTTCATATGGATGTCATCCGTGGCGCCAAACCCGTTCAGAAATATCTAAACTCTCAGCGCTATACAACTGCTTCCTTTGATCAATGTCGATAAAAGGATTTGAGCGAGTGAAACCAGAGGGTGTTGCCAAAGGTCATCTCCCTTTGAACAATGTGTACTGACGCCACAGATTCACAAACAAAAAAAATGTACCATATAACATAAACCACATAACTTAAGGACTACCAACAGCAGCAACAACTAAAATGGATAGCACATGTAACTCAAAGTGAAAATACTGACATAATCAAGATGTTAACATTCGACACTACTTCAAATAAAGTGTTAAGAAAGAAACCCCCATCAATACTGGAAAGAGTAATAACAGCTACTGGATGTGAGAAACCTCTTTTCCTAAAAGGTGTTTTATGAGAAAGATTTTATAATTCCAAGCGAAAACAGTACTGGCTGCTCGCTCAATGAATACCAAATGTTTCCTTGGAGGGAAACGGCTAATAATACCATACCCAAGTGTTTCAGGCCAAGAACTTTTCACTCCAACCTGGTATTCCTCTATGACATACAGACAGACAGATAACAAATATAATTACACAGATAGATAGATAGATATATAGATAGATAGATAGATAGATAGATAGATAGATAGATAGATAATGAACAGACTCAGATAGATAGATAGATAGATAGATAGATAGATAGATGAATAGATAGATAAACTAGATAGATAATGAACAAACTCAGATAGATAATGAACAGACTCAGATAGATAGCTAGATAGATGGATAGATAGATATGAACAAACTCAGATAGATAGATAGATAGATAGATAGATAGATAGATAGATAGATATGAACAGACTCAGGTAGATAGATAATGAACAGACTCAGATAGATAGATAGATAGATAGATAGATAGATAGATAGATATGAACAGAATGAAATAGAGTGAGAGAAAAGAAGAGTTAACTTTTCGTGGTCAAGCAAACCAGCAAAGAAGTAACTTTGTTATCGAAATGATCCTTTGTTGTTCACTAATGTATTAATTTAATGACGAGGATACGTTAATGAGTTGATCATTCAACAGATCAAATCCCCCCCCACTCTCGTCCCACAGAAGAAGCATACAAATCATTACGACGTCCTTGTTTCCTTAATTTTGCGTCGTACTGTTCCAGTAAACATTCATAATCTTCCCCAGCCGCCCAGTAAATTATTATGGAGTTTTGTTTCTCTGTAAATCGGCTGCTTTGAACTGTCTCCTTCCGAGCGATGTGTGTATTTTTGTTTGTGCGAGCCATCAGGAAACTGGATCCGTAGAATATCCAGCCGATTCCTGACAGAAAGGAGTCACAGAAGTTAGGGTGGGAATACGAGACTTCATTTTAAGATATGATCTTGGCTTAAACCAACAGAGATATAGCGACAATTAATTAAAATTGAATATTGGAATCTGATAGACATGCTGATATTTTACTAATAAAACAAGCAGGATAACTGGTACAATCTGGGATTTAAAAAGAAGATAATTATTATTCAGCTTTGTTCTAAAATTTTATCAGAATGTTCGCGTAGTGGATCTCTATCTATAAAAGGCAGGATGTGTGTGTGTGTAACGAATGCACGACCGCATTTTTCGACGGATTTGCACCAAAATTTATATGCACATACTCCAAGTTAGCGGTAAGACCAAGACCGAACTTGCATTTCCCAACTCCCATCGATAGTGGAAATAATCCATTTTTCATGCTTCTACGGCAGTTTTCATGTAGTTTGCGGCCATTTTGTACTGGCCAGAGTGAGAGCCTATAGCTGGCTGCCACGAATAGGCAAGAAGATTCTATTGGCCAGCGTGAGAGCCAACAGCTGACTGACACGAATGTTAACTAGCATGCTAGCATGTCAAAAAAAGAATCGATAGCTGCATTCGTCACAAGTGGGAAAAATTTAAATCTGCATGGCACTTTACTCCAGTTGGCTCATTCGCTTGCTTAAACTCAACGTTGATTCTGATTCCGCAGAACTGGGTTGGGTGTGAAAAAGTATTTGTTGTTAACATTCTTTTTTCATTCGGTTTTTCCAGTTACGAGTCCTTTTTTAAAGCTGATCGTTTTGTGTTCATTTTGTTTAGTTCTTTCTTCGTAACAGATTTAATGTTTAGTATAGAGCTTAGAAAAAATTCGCAGTGTGAGATAGGCAAGAAGTAAGGCATGTAGCAACATCAGCACGATAAAGGACACTCCTTTAAAGGCAAAGAAGGGCAAAAATATTTTAAGTCAAGTGGTAGCGATTGCTGTATGAGTCGTACGATTTTTGAATCAAGCACGGGCAACGCCGGGCCATGCTGCTAGTTGGTAAATAGTATTGTACGTATTTGTATACGTTAAGTAGAAGAGAAATAAAGTGTATAGTAAACTAAGAGACAGAAGAGAAGTTGGCTGCTGATCACATGTTGTAGGACAACACAGTACAACAGTTACATTGATAAATCTACATCTTTTACGTTTCAGAAATTTGGAACTCAAGAATTGACTATTGAAGATGAAATGAGACCAAGATCTTCATTCAAAAGAACAGAACATAAACGTCAAGGGGGAGAGGAGGAAAAAGGTTTTAGAAGTTCGAGAAAAAATAAAAGGCATTAAAACTCTATGGTTCAGGGAGGTGTAGTAGATTGGTAAATAAGATTGTACCTATTTGCATGTATCAAGTAGAAGACAAATAAAATGTATAGTAAAGAAAGAGATAGCTGGAAGTTGATTATGGATGACATGTCGTAGAACAACAAAATACAACTGATTTTAGTTCATTATATCAAAGAAAGAAAACGGCCCATTCTGACGAATTAAGGTAGAAATGATGAGGAAGACATCATGATGGAAGAAGACCTTGACATAGAAGAAAGGATGAGTTCTTCAGATCAGGACAATGCAATAGATGAGCCTATGGTTGATACCAGGTGTGACTCGGACATGGAAAAAGATGAAATTAAAATAACAGGAGATAAATCTCAAGGAGGAAAAGAGGAAAGAGGTTGTAGAAGAAGTTCGAGAACAATGAAAGTCATTAACCTCTTTTGTTCAGGAAAGTGTATTGAATTGGTAAATAGCTTTGTACCTATTTGTATATGTTAAATAGAAGAAAAATAAAGTGTATAGTAAAGAAAGAGATAACAGGCAGTTGATTATGGATCACATGTCGTAGAACAACAAAATACAAATGACTGATTTTAGTTCAATTTAAGTAATTTATAAATGTACTATTTTAATCTAGTGTATAAGGTTAATTTACATTAGTCAACATTTCTTCTGAAAATGCGTATATTTTTCCAACTCCACAACGATGATATAAAAAAGAACAGGATATAAACCTCAAAGTTTTTTTTTAATCAATTCATGGCAATAATGTCACTAGGATGCCAAATGATAGAGGGAGCAAATGAGAATGGGGAAAAAAACTTAATGAGGGGAAGTGAGAAAAGAGCACTAAAGGGAAAGGATTCAGGAAGACAGCATATGGCGATTGGCATTGCATTTAAAGTTCTGATGATTGAAGGTGGCAGGGAAGCAAGTACAAGGATAGAGATTATATTTTTATCTAACTGCATATCTTCAATCAATCACTTATGAGCACTTCCTTTCCAACATTTTTGTCTTTTATAACTCATTAAACCTTTTTGGTTTAGGGAGGTGTAGTGGATTGTAAATAATATTATACCTATTTGCATATGTTAAGTAGAAGAGAAATAAAGTGTATAAGAAACTGAGAGACAATGAAGAAGTTGACTCCTGATCACGTGTCATAGAAAAACACAATACAACAATGATAAAATCAAAATTAAATATTTCCTTCAAACTCATTATTGCAGTAAAGAAAGACTAAGAAGTCCTGAGAGAGTTAATTTCATCAAAGAAAGGGGACAGAACACGGCCATTATATCAAAGAAAGAAAAAAAGCATAACAACCCATTCTGACCAATTAAGTCAGAATTGACGAGGAAGACATCAAGATGGAAGAAGACCTTGACATAGAAGAAAGGATGAGTTCTTCAGATCAGGAAAATGCAATAGATGAGCCTATGATTGATAGCAGGAGTGACTCAGACATGGAAAATGATTAATTTAAAAAGAACAGGAGATAAACCCCAAGGAGGAGAAAAGAAGTTTGAGAACAATGAAAGACATTAAACATCTTTGGTTCAGGGAGGTGTATTGGATTGGTAAATAGAATTGTACCTATTTGCATATGGTAAGTAGAAGAGAAATAAAGTGTAGAGTAAAGAAAGAGACAGGCGGAAGTGACTACACATCACGTGTCGTAGAACGACACAATACAATATGGTGTCACCGATAGAATGTTTAAGTTGCTTGGATGAACCAGAATTTGCCGAGACTTGGATCCGGTGTTTTGCAGCTCAGGCTAGGGCTAAAAAAAAATGATGAGGTTATAGAAGGAGTTTGAGAACAACCAAAAGCATGAAACCTCTTTAGTTCAGGCGGGGGTGTAGTGAACTGTTAAATGCGATTGTACCTATTTTCGTGGGTTAAGTAGAATAAAAATAAAGTGTGTAGTAGAGAAAGAGACTGACGGAAGTTGATTCATTACATGTCGTAGAACAACACAATACAACAGTTCGGAAAATAATTATGTTATGGCTTCTTTTTCTTAATTTTGCTACAAGGAAGGCAATTAAGCTTCTAAACGCAAGAATATGAAGAAAAAAAACATTAAGAAACGAGAACAATAAAAATCAGGGATTAAGACGACAGAAGATGACCATTGACATTGCATTTAAATTTTTGCTGATAAACGTTGACTGGAAAGCAAGAAGTCAGAAGAGTGTTCCACAAGCGATAAGTGCAAGGAGGAAACTGTTAGCACAGAACATACGGTTACATGTAGCAATTTTAACTGTAAAACAATGAAACCTAACTGCCCATCTAGTACTGCGCTTCAAATTGTAAACGGTACCAAAGAGGATATAAGTTAAGTTTAAATATTATTTATCAAAATCGGATGAAAAATGTAGGAACGCATAAACAACATCCGATCACACACACACAGACACACACAGACACATACATACACACAAACATTTTGAGAATTATAGATATAGATTTCTGAAAAAGAATATACAAATGTTATTTCAAATGACGTTTCAGCTTCTACTTTTCCTTCAGAAAATAAACTTTTTCTGTTTTATTTAAAAGGTGTGTTGTTGTTGTTGTTGTTGTTAAATTTTTGGAATCCCGACACTCAGATGACAACAAAAGCCTAGGCAGACGGGTCCCAACAAACTTCTAGCTGGAGGCAGAGGAGATGTATTTTTGCAAATGTGAAGGCACAGACCTCGACTTGAATTTGAACTCAGCGTGCCAAACCCTCTTTCCGCGCCGACAACAGCTACGCTACTCCTCCATCAGTCGATGGAAGTAGTAAGTTCGCCAGAATTTAGTTCAGTCTTTGCTTTTGTTGTTTTTAAACGGTATTAGGAGAGATCTTTTTTCTTTTCTTTTTTTAACTGACTTAATTCCCAAACGATTGCATTTGATTATACTCCGACAGCTGTCATAACATGGTGCATCACTTTGAATTATCAAAATTTATTTATTTGTGTTTGTTGATTCTAGCAGTAAAGACGGAAGAAAACAAGCAATATTTGAGAATATTACTTTTGAAAACGAAAAGTAAAAATGCTATTAAAATTTTCAATAACATCTTGTGAATATTATGGATAAATTTATCATATTAGCTTAATAAATATTCCAAAATGGTTGTCACGAAAATAAACCTTAGAAAATGATCATAGTTTGGTCGATTGGTTAGAACGTTAGCTTTCCGACTATGAGTCCCGTGTTCGAATCTCAACATGGTCGATTTATCACGATGGTGACTTTTTGATGTCAGGGGAGTCGATCCTAGCTGAAAACCATCCCACGGGTTGACCCAAGTCTTGTGAGTGAAACTGGATAGAGAGGGATATTTCTTATTACTATATCTTGT